GGGGTAGAGTCCGGGTAGTCTGAATTAAGAAGTGATAAGTCAGGTCCAACAGAGTTGTACAGAAACAGAGCGTTTGAATGTGTCAATTTTCCAACCATTTTACCAAGCAGTACAACTGCACCGTACCAGTCCCCAATGTGAAGAAAAACAAGTGTCTTGAGCGAATGAGAATTTCGTGGTGTCGAACATGTAATATATATATATATCACTTGTTTACTTTTCTACATCGGCAGGTCTTAGGTGCCACTCGCTGCGTGAGCTGCCTGGCTGGGCGGGCCAGCGCATGGATGGGTGCGAACAGTGTGGAGGCCTGTGAGGCTTGTAGACCTGGGAGCTACAGCCACTTGACTGAAGGGACGGGACGTGAACTTGACACACGCAGGTGTTTTGATGCCTCTAGTGGACCAGCTGGTTAGTTGGGGGCGTAGGAAGGGACAAGGTGGACAAGTATCGTCAAACTCATATGGTTTGTGGGCAGTGTGGAGTAGATATTTTCCTGTCCTTTTTGGGAGAGTCAAGAGTCTAAGCATACTGTACCCCGATTTCCGGTCTTTTCAAAAGAATAACCTCCCCCCCATACCGCCTTCCACATCCCAAGTCGAGACCTGTGAATCCCAGGCTTGTCCACCAGACTTGTCGAGCCGGTGTGCTGCACCATTCCTGAAGGCGACCATTCGCTATCGAAGAGCTATTAAATAGCTGCTATTTATTGGTCGATCATGCGAAAAAATCATGTCCTCCAACGAACGAAGTTCGCCCGGACTCGACTGAGCCAAGCCGGAGCCGTTCGAGCCGGGGGATCTTTGAGGCAATGAGTCCTGGAGCTCTTGCGAAGCCTGCCCCATGGGCCGTGCCTGGGACAACGACCATACCATGAGTCGAGGGTGATCGGAAGGGGGGGGCCGAACGACCCTGTTTGAGAGACGTGTGTTTTTTCCATGTCTTTTTTCAGGGTGAAAGGAACATCCAGACCAGAGGAAAGGTGCTTCCAACAAGTCCACAATCTTTTGGTCGATCGGTCGGCCTTCTCGTAGCAGGTCTGAAGGGTCGGCCTTCCAAGGTTTGCCCAACGCAGAAGGGGTCCGAAGTTGACGGTCCGAGGTTTGAGTGTGTCGCCCCAGCCGATCCTAACTGACTTGGGAGGAGAAATTCCATCTTCCCCAGGTTGGGTCGCGGGAGCCGGGCCTCGCTCCGCGACCCAGGGAGTTTCTGTGAAAACCAGTGGCTAGCCAATCTCGCCACAAACCATCAAAAACCGGGTTTTTCTCGAAGTCTACCAAAAAAAACTTGTTTTTTGGATGTTTTTGGTGAACGTTTCATGGTTTGTGGGGCCGCTGGTAGCCAATCTCCCTCTCATGCAGCTTTTGCTGATGTGGAAGTCCAAGCGATTCCTTGGCATCCCTGCGAGGAGTAGATCAATGGGATGGGTCACAGGCGGTTTTCAGATCAATCTCGTCGGAGAAAAGAGTTAAGATGATTGAGACGCAGACATTCAGAGCGGGTCGCCGCGAGAAAACCCAAAACCTAGTTCAGGGGTGTCTATAAACCATCCTTTCCTGGGTGCTGGGATAAGAGTTCATGGCCATCGCTAGGGTAGGGGTTCTTCTGAACTTGTTCATAGATAAATAGGGATGACAAAGGGCCTGGACAGTGATCCAGGAACTGCACACTCCCATTTTCTGGCCCCCTTGGTGGAGGAATCCCTGTGCAAAGTCTGGTTGCCACTGGGATATGAGCCGCTGACTCTGACGGTGCTTTTCTTCGTCGATCCCAACTCGTGGGGGTGGCATCTCGCTCAAGTCCTGCGTGATGCTTGGGCTGGCTGGGCAAAAGCCCAGGTTGGAGTGATTCTGAAGGCACCTCCCTGTGCCCCTGGTCGGCATTCACCGTTACCGTTACACGCCCGGCGATGAGGGAGGCGTGTTGAAGCTACGCGCCCAGAGTCAGCAAAACATTGCTTGAACCTGGAAAGACTGGAGCCATTGATTGGGCCATTGATATCCTTTCAACAAGTTCAACGGACAAAAACAAAGGGACCGTCCCTAAAGTGAAATGAATCATAACTGCGAACCCCTCAAATTCCATCCTGCTTGGATCTCCACCCCAAACTTCCTATCTAGCCTATTTGGACAGCGAAAGTTGACAACACCACCCACCGATCAGCAAGATGCCTTAGAGATTCTAGAAACGCCTTGTGAATCACATGTCACTTTTGGTTGAGAGTTTGTTGGCCACGTGAGCTGAAGAGGGTGTAAGAAGAAGGCTGACGGCGATATTTAATGGAGAGATCCCCAACCAATGGGTCCTGTTACTGTTCTATGTTCCTTCTTCCATAGCGTCTTTGGAAGGTCTCCCTATTCTCAAAACCCTGAGGGGATTTTCTCTGGCAAGCCTTGTCCGAGGGAGTATGGGAGTGAACAAGTCCTGGGATCAAGCTCTGAGATCAAAAGGTCGAGAAGTCTTAAGGTGACGGAGAACTCACACATTTTCCATGTCATTGGCCTGTTGAGGCAGTGCCTGTTGCCATGACTCACTCGGAGTCAGTGCCGTTTGGGTCGGCCAAGGCACTGCCTGCGGCCTTGGCCGCTACAGCGCCGTCTATGGCGCCACAACGGAGGCGGTGTGCCTCCACTGTGCGGTGGGGCGTTCGTCACCGGAGGCCGCCACAGACGCAGGCGTGGTGCGATCGTGAACTGCATTCGTTCGTTCCGGGTGGGTGGGTGGTTTAGGGAGGGAAGAAAACCACGGAAACTGTAGGTTTCATGAGGTTTTCAGATGGTCTCATCCTGCATCACTAGGCTGAAAGCAGAGATGTTGAGTTGCCATCGTGTTCGTCCATCCAAGCCAAAGACTTGAGATGTAAAGAAATCCACGCACCCCAGCATCGAGTATACTGGTATATACTCCATTATCCGCAAGCAGCTGTTAGAGGCACCCTGAAGCAGTGCCGTGGGGTTCATCCCTCAGGCAGCTGCCAGCACTGCCCTGCTGGGCGTTGGAACGGGCAGGCGGGCGCCGCCTGCGCGGGTTGCCCAGCCGGGCGCGCCAGTGGCGCACTGGGCGCGACGGAGGAGGCCGTTTGCGAGGTGCCGGACTGGGGGTTCGAGAGGGTCGGACGGGTTGAGGAGGAGAGTGCCAAGGGAGAAAAGGGATCCACTTGAACTGATGTTTTTTTCTCTCAATTCAGGCTGACACTTCTTGACTTTTCTCAAAGATCATGAGAGGCAGCTTTGGCCCAGCTGTCTTCGATTCACTTACTGTACTGCTTCTTCCCCTCACAGCAAACTGGTCCACCAGAGGAATGGATAGACCACGTATCCAAGCCTGGAGATAGAACTGACTTAGGTCTCCCACCTTCCACGCCAGTCTCTCCTTCGGACTGGACGAACTCCCTTGGACCACTCACGAGGCCTCAGATGGAGCCTTGGAGCCTTGGGTTTCTCATTCCAGGATGTGTGCCTGAAAACGACCAAGAGAAGGGTTTCTCAGAAAAATAGCCAAAAGTAGACCTGCAAAAGGAAAGGAGTTATCATTTCAGGTGGCATTACCTAGGGTTTCTTGTCTATTGGACTACCCATTGTAGAATTGATCTTTACCTTATTTATATTTTGTCATTTTTGCCAATTGTATAATTGCAATTGTTCCATACAATTCATGGAGGAGAGCAGACCCTAACAAGTGGTTTCTGGCCACCGGTTGCCACCAGGAAGCACCTGTTGGACCATGTGAAAGCACAGCAGTCCTTTTCTCGGTCCCACTCTTGAGCCAAAAGCCCAGCATTGAGGGTGCTGGTCGTAAATATAGTCATATAGTCCCTTGCGAGCAATGCTTCTCCTGCGTGGCCTGGACCCGAAGGCAGGCAGGATGAGGAAAAGCGCCAAGACCAGACGAAGCCAGACACGTGACACGAAAAACACGAGTGTCTGGGCCCCTTGGTCTTTCCGGTGTCGAGGTTGGACAAAGATAAGAAGGGCGGACAGGTTGAAAAAGAAGGCAGCAAAGATGAGGCTCCTGACATTAAAGCGTGCCGCCTGGAGCAGTGGCGGTCGCCCAAGAAGGGGCCCAAGAAAGGAAGAGAAGCAATGAGGATAACAAGTTGCAGTGGCGTGTGACGCCCAAATTTGAGAGTTGGAGGGTTTCCAAGAGTTCTCAAAACGCAAATCTCCAATCTCAGGGTTTTCGAGAGTTCTGGCAGGTGCAAGACTCCAGAGCCGCAAGCGTGCAAACTAAAGCGCCAAACGCCATGGCTGCAAACTACAAAGCCCCAAAGCTTCTGCCCCAATGAGACCAGAGGAATCAGTTCGTGTCCGAATCATTTCTTGTTTTGTTCTTGCTCATCAATGCCTGTTTTCCACTTCTATGACAGATCCCAAATCATTCACTCCAAAACTTTGGTCATCACCGAGGTTCACTCAGCCACGTCATATCGGCTGGATCCCCCCCATGCCTCCAGCGCAAGCAGATGTCAGGTGTGCCCTCGAGGCCGCTTCGCTCCAGTGGGTGCCGCAAGCTGCCTCCACTGCCCCGCTGGCCGCTTTGCCGACGCGGCCGAGAGCGGCCTCTGCGCGCCCTGCAGAGCGGGGCGCTACGGGCCGTCGGAGGGTGCCATGAGCAATAGGACCTGTGACTTGGTTGGATGGGGAGGAAGAGATGTGCTTGGGTGTGTTGGAAAGACGTGATATATTTTTGTATTTGGTGTATTTGGATACTTGCAAGGACACCCGGTTTGTACAGGAATTGGTCGTTGAGAAGTTTCTCGGGGCAAATCTCCTGTTTGGAAGCACAAGGAGAACCCTCACAAAACCAAGAGCTAGGTGTCAGGAGGGTCCAGTCGTACCGAACCTCAGGATCCCTAGGGTTTGGTGTTTCCAGTGACTTTGTTCGTTCGGTGAAGAGACATGCGATGAACCGAGCTTCGGCGGAGACATGACGATCTTTCAATAAACCTTCTGCATGAGGTGAAGGATGCGAATGCGCACAACATCACAACATCCCTGGGTGGTTTCCATTCACGTTTGTTTCTTTCTTTTTCAACCCGAATATCGGAGGATCGACCTGGCACTGTGGCAAGAAGGTGTGATGGAAACCTTGGAGTCTCCCAACTCTGAGATTCTCTCCATTTTTTTTGGGGGCATCTCCTCCCAGCCCTCCCAGCCCTTCGCCGCAGGTTTTCCCTGCCCCTCCGGCTACTGGAGCTCGGACGAAGGATCTTCCACCTGCTCAGGCTGCTTTCCTTTGTTGAGCGATGAGAGAGTTCAGAGATGGGGAGACTGGAACTTACAGGGATGTTGGGTGCATCCCGAGCTTAAGCTTCAGATCTTTTCGCATTGGCAAGGAATTACCTGGCTATTTGGGATTTGACTTGGAACCCGCCTCCTGCAACTTGCCTCTGGGTGACCTGCAAAACCACCAAGCACTTCCCTAAATCAATCAGTCTATGACGAACGTATCGAGCGTTTCTTTCGAGACTCTCCATGTTTTTGGTTGATACCCCATGGATGACCAACCTCGGAGGGACTAAGTCAGCTAGCATGATCGTCTCCCAATTGTCGCAAAACGGTGAAACACACTGGAAATGAACCAGTCAAGGCACACTTCTGTGTACCCTGGGAAGGTCCAGCATTGTGAGAAAGTCGAGTCTAGAATGTGAGTGTGTAATGTTTCTTTTTGACATCACGGTCATATAGGGGATAGAAATTTCAGAGTCGTTTAGGACTTCGGGTGTAAGTAAGTTGCATGCAGATAGGCTTCCTTGTAGCCAAGGGTTTGTCCTCGGAAGTGGGGTTAACATAGAGACTTCAGCACAGGACAAAGAGAACAGAAGAAAAAGGAGGTCGGCTGGTCTTCACAACTCCTAGCCGGAACTTCATTGTGGGTGCTCAATGGAGATCTGCAAGTCATGTAGGGTAGTCATATTCGAGACCCCGACATGAAGCCAACAGAGGTTGAAGGACCCTTATTCGACTATCCCAGTTAGGTACCCCAGTAGGGTCCTAGTTCAGGTCACTTAACCTCTCTTGGAGGTACACATGTTCGAGACACTCAGCCGACTCAACCCACACCGCGTTGCACACCGCTTTGCGCTGAAGAGGCTGCTCCGAGGGCTTCGTCAACAGCAACGATGCCGCCGCCTCCGAAGGTGGGCGTTTTCAAACATCGGATCGAGAGTGGAAGGTCTAGTGAGGGGAGGAAGAAGAGCCCTACTTCGTACCAGCACCTTCATGTCGGGGTCACCTGGCTGGAAGCCCCAGCCCACCACATCCAGGGACCTCCACCCTTTTCAGGTCCAGGTTGTGTTGGTGGAGTTGGACCCCAGAGAAAGATTGGGAGAGGCAAGAGCACAGCACCGACAGGGTCTCCGGAACCCGGATCGGTTCTGCTTCGTCTCCGAGATCGAGATCTGAAAAGCAGCGAGTAGATGGACGGGATGGATGGGCAGAATGGAATTGATTGGAAAAATGAGGTGCCCAGCTTCTTCCAAGTGGCCTTAAAGAGGTTTCTTCGTCATTTTTGGGGCCTCTGGAGCCCGGAATTGGCCAATTCCGGGCGTTTTGAGGTCCGACTTGTCCAATTCCGTCCGGCCGGATTGGGCGGACCGCAGCACCCCCAAGTCCGAACCCACGCGCGAGAGCACCGGCCAAGCAGTCTGATGGGTGGAAGAAAAACGGCATCGGGTGGCGTCAGCATCGGAGCTCCGAGGTGTTTGTGTGGAGGATGTGTTCTATGGCGCGGGAACGCTCTCACGAGGGAGCCCGGAGCTCGAGACACAACAACGGCTTTTTGGGTGAGGGTGGAGGGGAAAGGTCAGCTGGATGTTCTGTGCAATAATAGGAGCTTCCGTTTTTTTCCACAAATGGGATCTTGCCAGACAGTGGGGTCTGGAGGGCAAATTGAGGAACGGGAAGAGGTACCGCAATAGACTAGTGACTTTTGGAGTTCGAATTTGATATTAGTAGTAACAATGTTCGCTCCTAGTAACAAGTGCATCGCTACTAGTAACAAGTGCCTTACTAGTAGTAACAAGGACGCTAGTAGTAAGTATATCTATTGAACCGTGTTTTCCATGGTGGACTTTCTGCTATACCGGGTGAGGTCGATGAAGCCAGCCTTGCGGTGTGAAGGCTTCTTCAAAAGGCTTAAGGGGTGTCCAGGTTCTCTTCGCCCTGAATTGAGGGATGTTTGGACCTCTCCTTCTCTTATGCACCCGGGACGATTCATAATATGGAACCTGGAACCTGATGGCATGGACCTTTGGAAGACAAGATTCCTCCACAAACCAGGGGTTCTCAGGCTCTGTGTGGGTCTCTGGCGGTGGCGGTTCTGCGGGTCATGCTGATTCCGTTTCTTGCCCTGCTGGTTCTGTGGATCTGGCACAGGTTTTGTTCTGTTGAACATCTGGATACATCTGGTGTGTCGTTTTGGGCACAAATCTGTGGGGTCCGGAGATGAGTGGACCATCGCCCGAAGTCAGCCTGAGAGATGGAGTCAAGACAGGCCTCTGCTCTCTTCGTCTTTTTCTTGCCGTCTCACTGGGGTTCAAACGTGTTCAAACATATTCCAGCAAGACCTCAAAGAGGAAGCTACATGGAGCCAACCAATGATCTTAAGAGAACAAAACGACACCAGGTCTATCCAGACCGGGCGTGATTTCTCTGTTCTCCAAGGTGCTCTTCTGGCACTGGTGCTCTTCTGGCTGACGGGCTGAGCCAACTTCTGAGTCTTGAGGGTGGATGGAGCAGGATGCCAAACGCGATGCAGACAGCAACCAGATGAGCCTCCAATCGAACCGACAGGAGACTCCCAAGAGCGTGCTCCGTGCTCCCGTCTTCATCTGAGGGCCTTGAGGATAAACAGCAACAACTCCAAGATGCAAGATGTCATATTTTCCATGTTTTGTTCATCTTCCCGAGCGGTTAGCCTACTTTCATGGACTCCAAGATCCCTATTAAGAACCTATCCCAAGATGAGAAGCTGCAGGTAGTTCCAACTGGATTGAAGCTGAAGGGCTAGAATGACCGTGACGTAATGATACACCATCAAGTTGGCATATGTCCTAGGCTTTACAGCGAAGAAATGTTAACATCGCTGGCCATGGTCCTCCACGGATGGCCCTGTCCGTTGATCTTCCACAACTAAATGAAGAAAGGACCCTACCCTACCGTTATTTGTCGATAGAACCATACCGTTATTTGTCGATAGAACCAGCCTGGGGCCGTTCGACAACTTCCGTCGAACGTGCGGAGCAGATGTTCCTTCTTCCAGCGTTTACTGCGTTTCTGATTCCTCCAGCGGACAGTTCGTTTGTTTGTTTCAACCTCTTTCTGCGTCATGGCGGTCTCCGAATATATGACCACCCAACGCCCAACGCGTCGTGTTTCCATCCTTTTCACGTTGAAGGTCACACCGTGTGCACCGGCACCGATCTCCTCTTGGATCCCCAGTTCTGTGATTCCGCAGATTCCGCCGATTCGCCGAAACACAAGCCTTTCGGTGTTCGGGTCTCACCCAGTGCCACCGTGATCCGGAGGTTGGTTGCGTCGGAAAGGGAGGTCGGGTCGTTTCTTGGGGGGGGGCGGAGACCAGGTGCGAGAAACAGGAACCAATTACATTGCGACGTTCGTAGCTTTTCTTGCTCCGTAGCGATGCCGCGATGCCCTTTGTTCCGTTCGTAGCTTCTTGTGACTCGTATGGCCAGGAGCACCCCGTTCGTAGTTTCTGGCTCGAGACCTTTCCGTTCGGAGTCCAGGGAGACAGGTGGGCGGTCTCCGCCAACTTTTGGGGGTCGAAGGGGTTCTGCTCCGTGGTGAAGCGGCGTCGGCGCAGAAGTCCAGACTCTCTGAGATTGGCGGCGTCGGAGTTTGGGTGGTTCCGAGCTCCGAACTGGTGCTTTTTCTTCGACCGATGAACTTGCGCTCGGTTCCTCGCCAGCCTCTGCAAAGGACAGAGTGGTCAGTTGACTTGGAGTGGTCGCAAAAAAGGACCATTAAGCAATGGAGGCATCTATTCTTGAGCTGTTTGGGGTGGAGCTTTATGACCCAGACCTCAAGAAGGGACTTCTTTCCCGAAGTTTTGGAAGCGGAAGGCAGCTGGTTTGAATTGACGGATGCGAGATTTACAGGGTCGTACAACTCCAGAACACGATGTCAATCTTAACAAAAATCTTTGGGCAGCTCAAGAGATCGGCATAGCATATCTCAGCATCGCACCACTTCGAAACCTGTCGAAGTTCACTTCGTTTTGGTTCCCACTTCACTGGCCGTTGCGCATGAGTGTGCCATCGCCACTGCCGCTCAGCGGCGACGTGCCCGCCGGGCTGGGGCCGGGTGGGGCACTGGGGGCGGCGACCGCCAAAGCCCTGGCCAAGCCTCATGCGGCGGAGGCGCGTCGACGTCGGAGTCTTGTCTTCCTTCTTCGAACCCAGACATGTCCCCTGGTTTTGATAGGAAAAGATCACCTATTTTGGGTGGTTGGTCCAAAAGGAGAGGTCCTTCAGCTTCGATCGGTTCGATCGGACAATCCGATTTGGCTTCGACCTCCTGGCCCTTCGCGTCGCTTCGTCACTCCGGACTTGCGGCCGATGTGCTGTGAAGAGGCACCGCTCAACGGGCTCCTCTCTGCCTACGCCGACGCCGACGCCTCGCCGACCACGGCGGGCGAGGTGGCGGATGCGGGCGCCGTGGGCAGCAGCAAGCCGGTGGCGGCGGAGGGTGATGAGGTCTGCCGCCCAAAAACGAAAGGCCCACGGCCCACGGTCTGGGCCGGGCGGAGTTGGTCGGACTCGTGAGGCGAACTCGTGGAGGAAGTGGGATTTTCACGAGGGCACATGAAGAAGATGGATCTTCGTGAAGGGGCACCTTCCGCAGAAGTGGAAAGGCTTCAAGAGCCTGAACTCACAACCGTCTCAGAGTGCTGGGACACAAAAACATCCTGTTTGGAAGAAGAAGAAGAAGAAGAAGAAGAAGAAGAAGAAGAAGAAGAAGAACTCCCATCCCTATTGCCATCTCCCAGCTTCTTCAGTTCGTGACCTTTGGGAAGTCCCAGCCAGTGACCTTGTACAGTCCTGTTTGCGACCTCAAACCAGGGCCAGGGGAAGAACCGGGTTGTGTACCTGGCCCCTGGGTGGCCATTTTGGCTTTGGCAATCACCTCCTTTCTCCCAACCCGCCCCTCTCCACGTGCATTCTTCGGACCTTCTCGGAGCGGAAAACCGTGCGCGCTGAAGCACGGAGCGTGCCCGCAGGAGCGTGCCCGGTCGCCGGGGCTCGAGGTGGACGTGAAGGCGCGTGGTGGGAGGTCCATGGATTCCGAAGGGATTGACCTGAGGCAGGGTGGACTCCCTCCAGCACCCCCAACTGGGGGGGTGTTTTCTTTTTTTCACACCCCGACTCACAGCTTTTCGGGGCTATAAATCGCGTAAATAGACACACCGACAGGAGGGTCCTGGCTGCTTTTTTCTTCGCTCCCGCTGCGCCGAGGCCGGGCCTGTCGAGGCAGCGCCCGCCGAGGCAGCGCCCGCAGAGGCACCTGCCGAGCCGGCTGAGCCGCCAGCTGTGCCTGACATGCTGCAGGCGGGGGGGGTTTGCACGACTATATAAATGTTTTGTTTAAACAACGAAGCAAAGAGTCGCCTGACTGGGACGTACTGATAAGCAACTGAGGGATTGCTGTCTACATACCTAAGTATACAAGTGAATTCAGAGCCAGCCTAAGGCAAATTAGGGATGGTTATCTTTATACTTTATTGGTTGCCTGGCATGGCTGTAGCGTTGATGACGGACATGGAGCTCGCTAAGCTGACCTCCCAACTCACACACATGTCTTACTGCACGAACGCCTTGTGGAGACTGTCACAATAAACCTCATTTTCTGCTACAGTGACCCCAGAATAGATTGCAAAGTAAGGGGCCTCCAAAGCAGTCTTGATCATCTTGATCAAGCACCATTTATGTATAGTTGGTGTATCCCTTTTGCAAGGCTGCGGTTGCTGGTGTAAGAGACTTTTGGTTCTTCAGATTTGGCCTTCCACAGATCGGAGGAAAACCCCCCGCCCGTCCCTCCGGTGTGCCTTCGGACGTGCAGCGAGTCCGTGCAGCGTGAGTCCGTGCAAGCCAGTTGAAGCTTATCCTTCACCTGACTCTACAGTTCTACAGGTCTGCGAACTGGTGACCTCTGCAGACTTATATAAAGGTGGTGAACCACAGTGGTCGGTGGTGACCTGGCAGTGAAGGTCCAGGTACATTCTTAGCTTTGGACACAGCGAACGCAGCCGGAATTGGCGGAATGCACCCGGCCCTAGGCCCGGCCCTTGTAGTGACGAGTTTCTTCGAACTTGTTAGGGACCAAACACCACCTTCTTCAAGGATCCTGACGTGTGCCGACAAGATGTTTCAACGGTGAGGGATCCCTGAGTTTTTTGGCCTCCCTGGTAGAGGTACTGGGAAATGCTGAGATCCCAGAGGTGCGGAAAGCCGTCAGCTTCGAGTGCTGTCAGTGTCCTCTCCCTTCCTGGGATGGTGCTCCTTGACAAAACCATGGAAGAACCACCTAATTTGACCCCGGTTTGATCGGAGCCCAGCCACCGTTTTGCTCCCTGTTTCAGGGGTCACTCGTCCTGGTATAGTTTAGATACAGGGGCAAGGCCGAAGGCTCATCGTTTTGGGGGCCTGCAGGTACCAGACGTGATGGTATGGTATGCTTTTTACAAGCCCTGGCGGTTCGTCAGTGGTTAACACTCCACATTGGGGCGAGAACTCTTGCCCTAGGGATCCGCATACCTTCTCAGAAGGTATATACTTGGACCCTCCAAAGCTACATAACAGATCATAACAGTGTCTCCAACCACCGTACCTCAGAAGGTATGCGGATCCACAGGCTTGGTGTCCAAGATCTGATCATAGGATTGATCCTCGAAGCGAAGTAGGCCTGGTTGCTGCAGAGGAGGTCGATCTTTGTTCCTTTTCCTTTTAGCAAGTCGAAATAGGTGCCAAGAAGGTGGAAAATTGGTCCGTGGCTGGGGGTTGGGGGGGAGCCCACGATCCCTGAACAATCCCCCACGATCCACGATAAGGGTATTGGAAGTGGTCCCCACTTGCTTCCGTTCGACCAACACGGAGGTGGCTGCCCTTCCTCCCTCCTTCCCGCGTGCGCAGGCACCCGCGCTTGACGCGAAGGCTCCGGAAGTTGCCACGAAACCTCCAGACAAGGCCTGCGCAGTCGGAAAGCGGCATGGAACCCTTAGAGATTAGTTTTGTAACAAGAACCCTGCGCCCCTTTTTTTAAAGCAAGCTTGTTTTCTCAGACTGGTTTCTTTTTGTTTGCATGCAGCCTGACCCTTTGTAGAGGGGGGGACTATTACGGCCTGGATTTGTTGCACCTCCCTCCCATGATTTTTTTCAACCTTGACACTGTCCGCTTGTGAAGATCAATTCTGGAAACAAACGACCTTGGACTGCAGCGAATCACAGAACCATCGAAGCAAAAAGCCACCCTTTGAGTGCTTTTGGACCTCAACAGCCACTCCTCCTCCTGGGTGGTGCCCACTCCTCCTCCTCCTCCAGGTCTCCAGCTTGCTGGGCATGTTTGAGCGTTCCTTCGAGACCGCTCAAGCGGCCCTGCCGACGCCTCCGCCTTTCGACCCGCTGGCGGCCTTGGACCTGCTGGGGCCCAACCCCTTCGGCCTCTTGGAGACGGAGCTGCCGGACCCGCCGCCGGAGGCCAAGCGCCGCAAGGCGCGAGGAGGGGGGGGGGGTCGTGCCGGAGGGGTCGGGTGGGTCGGGCGTGGGAGCCCCCTGAAATGTGGAAGAGACCCGGAAGAGACCCGGAGACCCTGGTGGAAGGCCTCAGAACAGCTGTTGAGGTTGGTTTCCATTCATTCGCGTTTGGGATCCTGCCATTCTCCATTGATGCTGATTGGAGACCTTTTGACACAGGCATGGAGAGTCCGGTCGTGCCTTCAAGGTATGTGGATCCTGGATCCTAAGGGTTTGGTGTCACAAGAGAGATCTGGACGCAAGGCGACATGAGTGAAACCTGTGAGACGGGGGTTGCCCGAGATCAACAAGCGTATCAGGGAAATCGAGAGGGGATGAAACCCTGTTTTGAAAGGGGGTGTCAGGGCTCTCTTCCCATGGAAAACCCTTCCTTGTGCAGCAAATCACCAACCCTGTTTGTGGTGATGGGTGCAGGGGAGCTTTGTCTTGAAGACCCTCATCCGACTAGTGCCTATGCTGGCAGGGAAGATCACCCAGCTGAGAAGCCTCACAAGGCTTTCTTCACGGGTTGATCGGCCCTGATCCACTTCACACGGCTTTGAACCTGGCAAGGCCGCTCTGGTCTTCTTTTGAACCGAATCCCCAGCCAGTTGATGTTCATGTCGCGTCCACCGGAAGAGGAGAGAGAGAAGGGTTCCCTTCGCCCCACGTGCTGCGCGCGCCGTGCGTCCCGCGCTTCCCCGTGCGGAGATCGATGGTGGGAAGCGGGTCTACGTGGTCCGCCATGGCGAGGCCCCAGGGTGTCGTTGCAGCTCCAGGGCTGCTCATCCGCCTCAGTGTGAGCCATTTTGTCATTTTTTTTCATGCGAACGAACTGGCTGGAGATGTCCGTTTCCAAGCTGGAGCTAGACATTTATAGATTCTGTTCAGGTAGCAACTGGAATCAGATATCATCCTAGAAGCATCACCAGTTTACAACGATGTCGCTCCCTCCAAACCAACGAAGTTGATAGATGGTTCACTTTCGGCTGCAGAACACCCTCCCCTGCTGTGTCACCGGCTGCAGGGTGAACATCAGCTCAAGGGTTATGTTCATCCGAAAGGTCCGGCAGCCTAGCCCGAAGGAGCCGCGGAACCACCGTGGTGAAAGTGGTGGGAGTGGTGAACACGTGGTGCATTTTTGTTTGGTTTTTACGGCACTGATCGCATGAAACAGCTCTGGTCCAGCCCCCAAAAGGATCCAAAAGGTGAACTTCACCTTCAGGGTTGGAGTTTGGATGTTCAGGGCACTCCTACCCAGATGCGACCCAAGACCGGCCCCTGAATCCTCTAGACCTTCGAACCCGAATCGTTTGGACAGTTCTCTGGACGTGGGGGTTTCGGACACCAAGGAATTCGATTTTTCGGGCTGTCCCACCTCCTCAGGTGTCGGTGGTATTCGACCCCTCCTGTCCACCCGTCCACCCGACCCCCCCATCGAACCGAAACGGAGGTGGAGGAGCCCGATTTCGGGGATTTGGAGGGACCGGTCATGGATCCCATCGATCCGGGGTACCCCAAAACATGGGCAGATATGCCGGGACCGAGGCGGGGCGGTGCTGGTGTGTCAGATGGGCGGCCCGGTCATGGTTTTGACCCTCCACATCTTCACCCCCCCCCGGCTGGGCGAGTGCAGGCTACGGCCTTGGACCAGACCTCACGGAGCTAGGAGCGGGGCGGGCTGAGCGGAGCTGAGCGATTTTGAGCCGATTTCGGGGCATTTGGAGTGGACATTTCCAGGAGTCCAGACAGTCTAAACCAAGGACCTTCAGTTCGTGACCTCTTTGTCTCTAAGTGGCCTCCCTTAGGGTCAGGTGGGTTTGGGACCTCCCTTCGGGTCACCGGATGCCCCGAGAGTGGTGAACCGGATCTGGGAAGCACCAGCGGATCCTGCAGCGAATCGAGACGAGGCGCCAAAGCCAGGGGTGCAGGCTAGACCCTTCCCTTCCCCAGAGCTCCAGATGACTAGAGGAGGGGGTCGGATACGGTCTGTTCGGTGGACGATCTTTGATCATTTGATGATATTTGCATCGTTTTGGTGGTGAATGGACACCCCTTCACGAAGGGCTCATGCTAAACACTCAACCAGGACCTTCCGATGGTTGACGGTTGATCTCATGACGAAGCAAGTCCCAATTCCACAATGGATGTCCAACACGTTCGTGAGTGCGGTTTCCAGGCCGGCGGCAAGCCTTGAGTGCGAAGGAGGTCATTGTGGGGGGAGCTCGTTCCAGGAAGTGCCAAGGGCAAGTTGTGATGCAGTGAGCTGATGACGGCTGATGTTGGCTGATGCTGCTGATGCTGCTAATGCAGCTAATGCTTAGATGCATGAAAGTTTCGTCCTCCAGTGAAGCAGATGGAAGACTGGAAACCTTCAAGAATATATATAACTGTTGTTCTAGTGGTGCATAGATAGTCTTCCAGAAAACGTGAAATAGCTTTGGGATGGGGAGAGGAGCACTTCAGCTGCCACAGGAACCTGCTGAGCAACCCCCGGCGGACGCTGTTGGGTGAGTCCGGCGGACCTGAAGATGTTCATCCATTGGATAGGGGCTCCAAGGTGTAAACGCACGCAGGTCCTCAGCACCGGGTCCTATACCTGCCGTTCGGTTTTTGGGCTTCTGGTCAGCACTGGTTTTACTTCCTCTTGACTCACTGGTGCCCTCTACCCAGACGCTCCAAATAAATACAGCAAGGAGCTGTGGGTCTTGTGGCGCGTGGTACCGTTCCAACACGGCCCCTTAGCGGTGGCGGTCGTCCAACGGTGGCGGTCGTCGCTCTCGTCACGGTCGTCTGGTCGGGGTTTTCAGGTCAATGAGTTGCCAGAGCTGAAAGAACTCATGGAGGCAGAGGACCCGGAGCCTCAAAAAGTGCCAAAGGGAAAGGGTAGATGAAACACGTGCCGGGAGGCTGTGACGTTGGATTCATGTTTTGGGTGTTGGGTGGAGTTTTAAGTGAGTCTTTTGGGAGGTTTTGTGGTGCCAAACGCCAGATGACAGATGCGAGAGAATCGTTTCGGTGGGAGAACTGTTTCAATAGAGCGCCCCAGGCCAGGAAAGCAGAGGTTTTTTGTAGCGGGGTGAAGAGGTGGTCCAAACAGTCCTTTTTCGTTTTGTTGAGGACGATGTGGAGATGTGTGAGGACGGGGTGTGTCCGTCCTTTCTCATTTTTCCCGAGAGCGTCTGCGAAGGGTTCTTCGTAAAAAAAACATCTGCAGAACTACACCTCCTCTACATCTTCACATCTTCACCTCTGTACAATCACGTTCTCACCTCTATCTCTGCTCATCTTCACATCTGCACATCTACATCTCTGCTCATCTTCACATCCTCACATCTACATCTCAGCTCATCTTCATCTTCACACATCTACATCTCTGCTCATCTTCACATCTGCACGTCTACATCTCTGCTCATCTTCACATCCTCATATCTACATCTCACATCCTCACCTCTCGCTCTTCTTAACTTTCTCTCTTAAGGCCGGGGGCAGTGCCGCCTGACGGCCACGAAACGCAACCCTCTGCGGAGATCGTGCGTGTCGAGTGCGCGAAATGCAGGCGAGAGTGCGATTTGGATTTGTCCGGCGCAACCCTCTGCGGAGATCGTGCGTGTCAAGTGCGCGAAATGCAGGCGAGAGTGCGATTTGGAATTGTCCGGCGCAACCCTCTGCGGAGATCGTGCGTGTCGAGTGCGCGAAATGCAGGCGAGAGTGCGATTTGGACTTGTCCGGCGCAGCCCTCTGCGGAGATCGTGCGTGTCGAGTGCGCGAAATGCAGGCGAGAGTGCGATTCGATTTTGTCGCGGGCAACCCTCTGCGGAGATCGAGCGTGTCGAGTGCGCGAAATGCAGGTGAGAGTGCGATTTGTGTCTGTCCGGCGATGAGAAGTGGCGACTTTCTAGTACAACTTTAGTACGCGGAGCGAGAACTGGCGACTTTGTAGTACAACTTTAGTACGTGGAGCAATCTGTGGAGCTGGAAGCTGAGAACTGGCGACTTTGTAGTACAACTTTAGTGCGCGGAGTATTTGGGGAGCTGGAAGATGAGAACTGGCGACTGAGTATCTGGGGAGCTGGAAGAAGAGATCTGGCGACTTTGTAGTACAACTTTAGTAGGTGGAGCAAGCTGTGGAGCTGGAAGATGAGAACTGGCGACTTTCTAGTATAACTTTAGTATGCGGAGTATCTGGGGAGCTGGAAGATGAGAACCGGCGACTTTGTAGTACGCGGAGTATCTGGGGAGCTAGAAGATGAGAACTGGCGACTTAAGTAGTACAACTTTGGTACGCGGAGCAAGCTGTGGAGCTGGAAGATGAGAACTGGCGACTTTCTAGTACAACTTTAGTACGCGGAGTATCTGGGGAGCTGGAAGATGAGAACTGGCGACTTTGTAGTACAACTTTAGTACGCGGAGCAAGCTGTGGAACTGGAAGCTGAGAACTGGCGACTTTGTAGTGCAACTTTAGTACGCGGATGGGTCGTCTCTCGCGGCTGAATCATCTCTCGCGCCACCCGGCTCTCTTGAGAGGTTGACAAAATTTAGCTACTTTGCTTACTCATAAGTGGCTGCCACAAAAGAGTCATCGTGACGTAAGTATGTGTGTACTTCACCTTCATGACAAACGATGTTCGCTTGGAATTCACGAGTCGCTTGTCATGATCGTGGCGTCGTTTACTCTCAGGTCGCCCTGTTCGTGGAAACTTCAGTGTGAAATGTACGTTCTTCAGTTCTATTTGAACCTCTTCAGCACTGTACTTGCACAGCTAAGGTTGACGTTGCGCTGCCGTTGCATCGACGCATCTACGTCTACACCCCCTCAACTCTCTACATTTACATCTTCACACGCTCACATCCGCAGATCTACCTCTCCACCTCACCACACCCACACATCTGCACATCTATATCACACCTGCACATCCACACTGTCAATCCTTCACGTCCATCCTTTCTTTCTTTATCGATGTCTTTTCCACAGTACTGGACAATCACATGTCTCGCTCTCGGGCCACCCGTCGTCTAGTTTTTGCTTCAAACCGGGGAGAATGCGCAGCACCTGAGGGTCTGAGCACTTGCTTCCCTGCCGAGGGCCACATGGACCCCCAAGAAAGCACAACGGTTGGTCTTCGCAAAAGGGTCGAAACCACCACCGGTCAATTCTCAGGTTCCATGTTGATCTTCGGGGGAAAAGGGTACATCAAACTGCTGAGCAAAAACCCCTGGCCCGCGCCGCGCCGTGCCAAGCTTCTCCTCGGGGTGAAGCTTAGCTGACGAAGAACGCGGTCCGCAGCTCGGTCGATTCTTTTCCCTTTCAACCAGGCTTTCCTGTTTGAATTCTCCAAGTCAGCACCTGAACCAAACCATCCCCACC